ATTTGGTTCCCGGAACCAGGTCAATCTCATGACGCACACCTCGGTCCGGAGGTACAACCGAAGGCGGGTCTTTGGAGACGACATCTTAATTTTCCTTTATAAAAGGATAGTACGGATACAAGGGATTCCGTAGGATCGACGATCCACTCCGTGCGTTCAGTACTCTCTTGGTGCCTTCCAATACAGCTTCATCCAGACCAATGACGAGTTTATCTCCTCGTCCGGTCGTACAATGACCACTTCGGCCAAATCGCCTGCCTCCAAAACACTGCGAAACTCCTTACGGGACATCTCGCCCAGCCCAAGAAAAGCATCTACTGCAGGCACAGCCTCGAGGCGGACGTCGCCATTTTCCTCTCCCATCATACCGTTGACGAGGTTGCATAACTGTGTACCATCGTCTACGGTAGACACACCCTAGATCAGGGTCGACGCCCGGCGTCTTGCAGCCCGCATACAGCGTCGCCGTCGCCTTTGTACAGAGGTTCTTTGTCTCGGTGAGACCAGGGTGAACACGCACTCCGCGTCTGTCACTCTCACTTTCTGCTCCTTTGGAGCTCCGATGTTATCTACAACATCCGATGAAGAACGGCTAAACCTGCAGTCTTCGTCCAGTGGATACTGTGCCACTCCACGCGCATCTGAAAGGCCGTGTTCAAGATGCCTAGGACTTTGTCCGACAATGGCATGCAGCGACTGCTTTGCAACGAGAGCAGTGCTCAGTAGTTATCGTGCCACTCCACGCGCATCACGAGAGACTCGCCCTCGATGCATCGGCTTTTGGCCGACCATGTCACGCATGAATTGCAGCGACTGCTTTGATTCTCAAACAGCGCTCGTGGCATACGTGCCACTTCACGTGCAAGGGCCTCGCCCTCGGCCGACCATGTCACACATGACATGCAGCGACTGCTTTGACACTTTAGCCGCACTCAGTGGTTTACGTGCCACTTCACGTGCAAGGGCCTCACCCTCGGCCGACTATGTCACGCATGACATGCAGCGACTGCTCCGAAACTTAAACATCGCTCAGTGGGTTACGTGCCACTTCACGATCAGCCCGCAAGCCACGCTCAGGGATCCTGTCCGATGCACCGTTGGTGTCTACCAACTCGGACAGTCCAATGTCTAGCACGTTGACCGTCTCGGTCCAGTGCTCTTGCCAATAGCGCTTTTGT